ATTCTGAACATGATTATGTTCTTCGGTTTCTTTCGCACCGTCCATGTTATGTAGACTGGTACCATACTGCTGTATAAGAACTTTATTAAGAGTGAATAGAGAAAGAGATCATCTATTTCTATTTCTTGTTGGCTCTGTCCCGCCATCTATTAGTATGATACGGTATTTTTGTTTTGCTGCTTGTATTTCTATTATATATATTTGCTGTTTTATGCCACATTTGTGGTATGTCACTATGTACTAGATTTAAATACGAATTCAATTACTACAGTGACCGATACGCGCTGTTGTTTTGTTAGAGTCCTAAGTGAAGTCAGCATGAGTCAGACTCAGAGGGCGTGTAGTCAGTCTAACAGTAGTAAGGCACAGGGTACAGTACTCAGTACTTTTTTGGCAGTTGATATGGATCCTGCTCATAGAAAGATACTCACCAAGAATCTTGTAGCATTCTGTAATGACTTACAAGTGGAGCTCGTCATGGTAGAGTTGGAAACAAGTGGGATGTTTCTGCAATTCCACGTGGACATGATCCTGGCAAGTATACTTGCAGTGACATGATATCCTGATAATATCTGTGTCTTCATTGTGGGCTCATCACACATGATCATCACATACACTTTACACTTATTTGTGGGGTAACGATATACGTATGGTTTAGGGTTAAAATCAATAATCAACACTTATATGTTTCAGGCAGAGAAGGTAGAGTTCAATAAACGGAAGAAGGTCGTGCAGCTGGTTCAGCAGAGTGGCCCTAAAGCGTTTGACTTATTTCACCGAGCGTTGCAGAACACAAACCAGACGCACCTAGCGAACTTATTGTATGTGTAGCCACGAACAGACGCATCCTCCATGACTATATATATGTTTATGGCACAACAAAATAACTTACTGTAGGCCTACAACATGTGATGTACAACATGTGACGTACAACGTGTGATGTAGGCCCCCTATGTGTATGTAATTTACATCGTTGTGTTTTTATCTAAATAGAATCCAGGCTATAATTATAACATAGGAAATCTGCAAACTCTACATGATGGTGAGATGCCGAACACTATAAATGTAGCAAAATAGTTGCCTTACAACTTCAACTCTTGCATCGATTTTGCAGGAAGCCAGATGTCACAGTGCCATTCTTACGGAGCACGCCTCCAGAAGCCAAGAGCGCGGCGCCATCTTTCAAGGCAAAATATCTTCCGAGCGACACTCCCGCCAACCTGATAGATGTTGACGTGCGTCCTGGGCGGCCCGCCCCATACAACCCGCTTGACGCGTACCGCATGGAGAGTGCCCCGAGCGGACTGTGCTTGATCGTAAACAACAGAGCGTTTGAGCGGCTCAGCGAGCGGCGGGGCACGGACCTCGACGCGCTCAACGTGCGCTTGCTCTTTGAGGGTCTCGGATTCGCGGTACTGCCGGAGAAGAAGGACCGCACCGTCACGCAGATGAGAGAAGAGCTGGAGTTCTTTGCTGCGCGGCCCGACCACAGAGACTGCGCCGTCGTCGTCGTCCTTAGCCATGGCACGTGGCGCAATGGCGACGAGATACACGGCGTCGACGGGAGGCCCGCAGATGGCACCACGCTCAACTTCAATGACCTGTTGAGGATGTTCGGAAGTACGGCGGCCCTTTGGCATTCTCGGACACGCGAATGTCTCGTATCTCGTGGAAAACGGGACTGAAGTCAATTGATATTAATTAATGGATAATATGATTTCCGATCATGTTTTATGTTATTTATATCTTGTGATTAGATCGCATTACGTTTTGCTTCTGCAGGTCTGTCGCATTAATTTCTTAGCTAGGTTGTTATTTCAGATCAGTTGATGTCAATAATTGCTTAGATCAGATTTTACCTCAGAGCTAGACAATATTTCAGGTGTGATGACCTATTGCATGTTCAAGTCTTTTGTAAATTGTGCAAATTATCAGTTTTATTGGAAAGGACAGACAATGCATAATTAGTTACGCTTTGTAGTAAGCAATGGATGTCTCTATTTGACAGGGGAACAAGCACCAGCACTCAAAGACAAGCCAAAGTTGTTTATCATCCAGGCATGTAGAGGTGGTAGGTTGTCTTTTATCATAATTCATGAACGTGAGCTTATGATATTGTAAGTCACAATGCAGCTGCATCTAATCTGTGGTCTCATCATAATATGGTTTCAGTCTTATAATCTGAACGCGTATAGAGTCGTTTTCTACGTCTGTATTGCGTGAGTTTGTATTCATCTAGCAATTCTTTTCGGTGACGTTCTCGTGAAATTTGCTGCAGAAGATACTGACCTCGGTAGCCCACAGACAAAGTCTGATGCCTCGGATGGCTCCAGTAGTCCCCCACGGGCACAACAAATGTCAGAGGCTCCCCCTAGTGGTATCGAGGAAACAGACGCGCAGCCAATTGTCGTAGAGATGAAGCCGAGAGATCCAAACATGGGTGATCACATCGTGTGTCGTTCTACGATGCCAGGTGTGTGGCCTGCTAGGTTTTGTGTGCATATCTCCTACCTCTACTCTTGCAGCTGCTCATTTTATCACCTGGTCTTTCTGTTATAGCTGATCTCCCCTTCTCCCCCTCTCTATAGTTGCTCTCTGAGTCTCCAGCTCCTCCTCTCTATAGTTACTCTTCCTATTTCATCATCTCTATAGTTTTTCTCCCCATCTCCTCCTATCTATAGCTGCTCTCCCCATCTCCTACTTTCCATGTTATAGCTGCTCTCCCCATCTCCTACTTTCCATGTTATAGCTGCTCTCCCCATCTCCTACTTTCCATGTTATAGCTGCTCTCCCCATCTCCTCTCTATAGCTGCTCTCCCCATCTCCTCCTCTCTATAGTTTCTCTCCCTATCTCAATGCATTGCATCACATTACATCACATCACATTAGATTGTATTGCGTTTGACACTGCAGGTTTCAAGTCGTGGAGAAACGAGGTGAGGGGCTCATGGTTTATACAGTCCCTCGTTGAGGTGTTTATGAACTACGCCTGCACAGACAACATCAACGATCTCATGACGAAGGTAAGTTGCCCTGACTACGAGCACGTTCTCATGGCAATGCTAGCATCCACGTTCAGTTACGCAACACGTCAGTGCTAAACAGTAGCAGAGAGGGTAGAACTGCACAGATATGCCCAAGCTTTCATCTTGTAAACAGTTAACACCTATTTGCCTCTAACCACCAACTTCGTGTGAGAACGAGCTGCTATTATGAAACGTGCATCATGTCCTTGTGTTATTCGTGGTTTCATGCTGGCTTTTTGTTATGTATGAAGGTCAACCAACTGGTCGCCACAAGGTATCAGTCACTAGATGGAGCCAAGCAGATGCCGGTATTTGAGAGCAGTCTGAGGAAGCCATTCTACTTCAACCCCACGGGAACACAGTGAAGCAGATGACAACTCAACGCAATACAGCTTGCAGCAACGTCACAACATACAGCAATTTCGCAATCGCTATGCAATAGCTCGTGATAACATGAGGATTTTCAGAGAGAATAGGTTCATACGATGAGTCTCTTACCGTACTCTTGATGATGAAGTTTGTAATGAGTTCTGAAAATGCTTGCAATGATGTAAAACGTTGCAGATGAAATTAATGGATTGGAAGGAATTTATGGTGACACATTTTTTGTACATTGTGTGAAGAATGGTGGTTGACTTTTAAAATTGGTTACTGCAAAATATTTTAATTTACAGTAAAATACAATTACATAATTACTACATAACATCAGGAGTGAATAATAATAGATTCTATTATTATTCACTCCTGATAATATCAGGAGTAAGATAATATATATATATATATTATCTTACTCCTGATAATATGTATGTAAATGCCTTATATTACTTGTTTTGTTGTGATATTTTTGTAAATTTTTACATTTGTAAGAATCTTGTTAACTGAGATATAATGTCCAAAGTAATCATCTCATGATATATGAAATAATATAATAACGAATATTATATTTTTTGTATTAAATTTGTTATTAGGATTGTGAAATGAGTGAATGACCCTTGGTGGGGAGAACGATAATCAATTCAATACATGCACAACCAATTTAGCAAATGACATTCAGTTTATTTTACTTGGTGTCACTAATGTACATAGACGATTATATTAGCTACAAGAGCATTAAAAACTTCATTGCTTAATTATGTAAGAAATCATTGCTTTATAAGAAATCATTCATGTATTTTTATCAAAATTATACATTTTTATAAAATTGTCATAAATTAATATTAGCATTCATATTTATTTAGCAAGAATAGGAAACAAATGGGACAATAAATCTTAACAGCTATAATCAACCCACATCTATCTGCAACCTGCACCCCTCTTGTGAATCACTCTCCCTCTCATCTGCTGCCTCCATGGTTATACACCCTGTCTGCTGTATCATCTATAATCTATAGACGGGATAGTTCATGTTGTCCTCGCTGTGCAGTCGTTTCTGCGACGCAAAGATATCCAGACAATGCGCAACCACCTAAAGCAACGGAAGAGACAAAGTGAGCGTGTGCAGTTTAATTGAAATGAATAGACAAGGGTTGAATTTCACACACCTACTGAACATGTCTTAGATTTCTGACGCTATTGTTATGACATAAAATCAGACAACGACTAGCTACACCTCCCTGTCATTCAGTCCGGGCAGATAGCTAGGTCAGTTGTTCTAAATGCTAATTTATTTGAAGACCGATTTATAAAGGAAGGCGGTTATAACGATCACATCGCACGACTATGTAACTCATGCAGACAATGCAAGAGAGATACTTGCCTTGCGAGTGTCCTGAGGTAGAATCACGCCATCATTCCACATGCGACTCGCTGCATAGAAGGCAGACGACTGCGCATCCATCTCTTCTAGCAGCTCAGGTTGGTCCTACACACCAGCAAGCAAAGGTTACTAACAGTTCTCAGCTATGCCACGCATGTCACACGAACCACCATACCATACCATACCACAAACATGACATATTCATACAATATAGATATACACTATATATGCTACATATACAACTGAATAGATACCTATAATCGATTGTGTGACATAAAATTATTGACGAGAGCTATTTTTCCCACAGACTTAAAAAAGAGCTCCCAGGAAAAAATAAGTTATTTTTTTCCCTGGTATGCATGCATATAAACAGATGTATGTATAGACAACTGTTTAAATATATTCATCATAAATGATGAGCGAGATGGGTGGCTAGACATGATGCGGCCATGATGCCAAGGCGCGCCGAGGATTGACACTGTGTCTTCCAATCACAGCCTACGCCGCACCTCTCTATAATATAATATAAGGTGGGGACCCATCACAGTACCAAATCGCCAATCTCAGGAACTACGGCATTCTGCTAGGCTAGAACGGTTTCCTACAATAGAGTTTGGCACAAAAACGAAAATAGCACGCCGCTTAGCACACTGTGCTACGTCCTTCTGTTGCATTTTGGCATCTCCGTAATCATAATAAGCCCCGCCTTCTTCGTTGATGGGCATGAATGTGGCATCAACGACGTGACCCGTTACTGCGTGTAGGTGTTTTGCGAGACTGTTTGCTTTTCGTAAATAATGAAAGGCCCGGCCGATGCATTTCGCACCGAAGTGGAAACATTTTTACCCGCTTTTGGAAGCGAACGAGTGCGTCATTCATTGAATATTAAAGTTTTTCTTAAAATTAAATAATTCCAAAAATCCCTAACCGCGCTACTCGATTGTTTTAGTCAATGAACGTAGCTGTGTTTGTGACGTCTTGCCCACGCGCTTTATGCTTGGATTAGCGGGCCTCGAAATGGATATCGGAGGCAGGCACCTCGCAACCCGCGTGTTTGTTTACATATGTTATAGCTTTGTGACGTACGGTGTTCGGGAGTTCTGCAATGAATAACCTCGTAATTTCTCACATTTCTTAAGGTGCATGGAACATTTTACCAATTTAGTGGTGTCAGTTAGTCACGGATATGTCACAGTAAGTACTAACCGTATGTTTCACATACGTTCACCTATTTTGCACACAGGCGGTCGATCATTGTGAAAGATTGTGTAAAGATTTATTTTCATTGAGACGTTCCAAGCTCTTTCATCAGTCTTGTACGTCAATGCACGTGTGCCAAGAGCCATAAACTCAACACAATTTCATCTCTGTTATTGTTTACACCTGAATGCGTGATTGATCAGGGAGGGGGTGCATGTAAGAGGGAGACATTTTCTTTGGGGTTCCAAAAAACACAATTCCACTTGACAATTTCATGGGCCATTTCAATTGGAAGCTCTGCATAATGGACCCCCAACAAGCCCTGTGACTGACTAGCTCTTATTTAGCCGCCGATAGTTCTTATTTAGAACAAAGTGTTCATTGTTATCTTCTAAAACTACAGACCATCCGCTGACCGCTGTGGAGACGTGCGCCGGGCCTCGAATTTGGCGCTCGTCTCCACTGCGGACAGCGCTTCATACTTGAACATCCCCGCGGAACTGCGCGTCTCATCCGCACGCAGCGCTCGGGATCAACAGCAAAGCTGTGCCACGCAATCTTGTATCATGTCTCTCTGGATACATGGATAAATGAACAATTGCATCTCATTTGCAACTGAATGTTGCCCCAGATGGGCAGGTAGATGAACTGTCAGATAAACGTTCCAACAAAGTATATCAATTTTTTTAGCAGTAGCAGATATGTTCAGATATATGATTTGCTTGAAAGCCAGTACAGACCTGCAGTAACTTGCCCTGTAGACTGCTGTCATCCATCATGGAGACTTTGGACTGTGGCCAGACGAACATAAAGCTTGGACTGAATGATCTTCCGCACTGAAGCAAATCCACAAATCTCACATTCACACATAAAATTAATTACTGCCTAAAGAATTTAAGATGGATAAATATAAGAAAATAAATAGTAAAAAGAAAAAAAATACTCAATCAGACTCTTGTAAGTTGCTGATGTCAACAAGCAGTTCTCAACGGTTGAGGAGGTTGCCAATGTTTAGAAACATATTTAATTCTGTAAATATTTTCACATGTATCTGTATCACATTTATTGTGCCCACGCTTGCTGTTAAAATAGAACTTGACTGCACCAGCTGCTCCTTTCCTACGAAAAACCTACACCACTGGTACATACCACGGCAAAACTTTGCATTCCACGATTACTGCCCGTCGTGACTGTGATTTTGCGAACATTCGACGTGGCTACGGCGGCCATCATGGATGCGTGAGCACGTAGAATCGCCCCCTGGTGTTGTTTCGCTGAAACATAAATAACAGTTCCTATCAATACCTCAACAACAGGAGTGACTAATGAAGCGTTGAAGAACTACTGCTTCGACTAATGATAGAATTTCAATTGACGTTATTATAAAACTTCGATATGTGTTACTACTTGTGATACTATTCCGCAGACAGCACCACACAGAACCACTAATACACGTGAAGTCAAACCTGTGTTATATGCACCTCTATAAAATGACATCTGCATATAAAGAACACTTTTGAGGATTTCCTTGAATCGTTGTTATACAGTAAAAGCACCTCTACAAAACAAGCTCTACTCTATAAAGGACAATTTGGGGGTTTCCCTTCAGTGACCTAGCTTCATATACAGGTTTGACTACTCGCCCAAGCAAACATACTAACCATGATGTTGAGCCGACATGCTGCTGCTGTTCTGCAGGAAAAGCAGAGGCACGTCCCTCTGACTGCACAGCTGTACGAAATGCGACCCCTTCATGGCTGCTTTCTCTGTTAGCTCTCCATTATTAGCTACAATTCCCACCAGGTGGCTGCACCATCACAAATAATACAATTACAAGCATTCTCTACAATATTAATATGACAAAAAGAACAAATATGACATAAATATATAAATAAATA